TTAGGGGTCAGGATTTGACTGGAAAACACTTTGGGATGATAGCTGCCAAAAGGAAGATTTTTTTTTGTTTTTTTGGGGGGTGGCAAACCTAAACCGTGAACCATTAACCATTAAACCCTAAACCCTAAACCCTAAACCCTAAACCCTGAACCATTAAACCATAAATCTCTGAGTGATGAGGAGTTGGGGAGCCTCGGGTTGCTTGCGTGTAGGTAGCCTGGATTTAGGATTTAGGATTTAGGATTCAGGGTTTAGGGTTTAGGGTTTAGGGTTTAGGGGGTTTGGGAGGTGGCATTGCATTCGGGATGATGCTGGTGTGGAGGATGCACCTACGTAGGTAGGATAACAACCACTAGCATCCTGAGCCGTCGCAGAGCTGCTGCGGCTCTATAGCGACAACGGTTCGTGGTGGGAGCTACAATATAACTAAACCCTAAACCCTAAACCCTAAACCCTAAACATCATAGAGGCCCGAAAGCTTTCCAAGTAAACCCGAGTCGCTGTTAGCACGGACGGAGAGCCTGTGACGGGGCTGTTTGAGTCAATGCCGTCCAAAGCCACGCCGCCAACGACTGCAGAAATGACGTTGCCCAGCCCCAGGTAAGTGAAGACGACCCTTCGATATCCAGGCGGAAACCAGTTCAGAAGCTGGGACGTGAATGCCGAACTGGAAGCTTTCAACAGACCTGGAGTCTGTTTCAAGCTGCCGCATTAAACTGTGGCCCAGACATGATCAGTCGAAACTGAGCCACTCGAGAGACCCGTGATTTGCGTCCAAGCTGGTCCGAAGAACTGCACATGTCTGAAATGGGGGTTTCCGAAAATATGGTAAGGACCCCAAAATAAGGTACCCCTTGTTTTTGGAAACTCCCAAATAGACGAAACTGGTTGGGAAATCTCTACACCCTGAAGCCCTCGTCTCTTGTTGGTTGGAATCCTCATCACAGTCTGCGGCAGCCAGAGAAGTGCTGTGGCAGTAGACTGTGCCGTAGGGGGGCATGGTTTTGAGATTTCGGGTTCAGGTGAGGGTTGTGGGATTTGGGGAGGAGGCAACAGCGCGGGATTTGGGGAGGGGGCAATAGCAAATACGGGGTAGGAACAACATCAAAGCCGAGAACTGCACACCAGCATCGGAGCAGCATCGTCGCAAAACGAAGACTTCTGATGGGCATGTGGAGCAGCTTGCGAGCATATCCCGTAGTAAGTATCAACGCTAATCAGAAGACTCACAAGAGCAGTACTGACGTGAATAATGGCATATAACATGTCCCAAAGCAACATCGTGATAGTCGTCGTACTTTAGTAACAGCATGTGGGGGTTTCCGCAAAAAATAGGGGACCTTAATATAGCACCCTAAATAATAGGATCCTTATTATAAGGACCCCAAAATACCCTAAACCCTAAACCGCAAACCCTAAACCGTACCCCTTGTCTTTGGAAACTCCCATGTGAGGATCAGGCTGGCTGGCCAGGATGCTGACGTGAGGTCGTCGTGATGGCTTGGAGTGGTCATTCTGCTAACATCCCCACATTAGGGTTTAGGGTTTAGGGTTTAGGGTTTAGGGTTTAGGGTCTAGGGTTTCGGGTTTAGGGTTTAGGGTCTAGGGTTTAGGGTTTAGGGTTTAGGGCCGTTAAGATATTACAAGAGGTCGCGCGCAGTGTCGCTGCATGCTGGCAGCGACATCATATGTTTCCGTCACCGGTGCAGCGTCGTCTGCTGGTATATACACATATATTTATATGTGTAGTAGATATGTATTGAGTGCTGCAAAGACACACTGCTTTACAACCCAACTACAGCATCGGCACGTTATCGCAATTGCAATGTCACACCGACACGCGTTATCGCGCTGCGTTGCTGCACTGTGGTGGTGTCGACGAGATGAAGTACATTCAAGAACCATACGGGAGTTTCTGAAAAGACAGGAGCCATCTACTAGGATGCTCTTTAGAAGGACCCATATGCCACATATTTGTGTAGTATAGGGGCCTTAATAATTAGAATAGGGTTTCGGGGCCCACTATATTATACCTATAATCAGGATCCCCCAAAGCAGTATAGGTAATTATTTAGGCTTCTATCTTATAACCCTAAACCCTAAACCCTTATAGTAGCCCTTATAGAACCCTGTAAGGAACCCTTCAAAGGCCCCATTCTACATATCAAGGCCCCTATATTATGGTTGTGTTTATTCCAAGGCGAAGGCTCTGGCGCTGGCACAATCATCTGTCGTTTGGCAGCGCAGTCTTTTCTGAATATATCGTCTCTACCAGTCCGGATAAGCATTAATGTAGGGGCCTTAATCATTAGCATAGGGTTTTGGGATTTTTTATGCTTGAGTTCTAATTCGGAACCACCCAAAATAGTATAGGTGGTTGTTTACGCCCCTATATCATACTATCTGTTGCTGAGGTCCCTGCTGGTAAATGCTAATACGTACTGAAAATAGTACTGCTGCGATTTGTGTTCGTATGATTGCTTCGATGTGGTACAACCGGTAGACTCCCAAAAACGCTCAAGACTTAATAGGCATTCATAGCTGGAAAATCCGCCTCCTTCGCAAAAAGAAGCCTAACCCAAGAACCTGAAAGGCCTGCCGGGACAGCGAGAACCCAGAAGGTGCGACGCCCAAGGATCATCGGAAGGTTCTGCTCCGGCTTTACGGCGCTGTCAGTGACACGCAAGGCGCACCTTTTCGCGCACGGGAGCTTGGCGGACTAAGCTTGAAATCATACTATGGCTCATTTTTGAGTGTGACATAAATGCGAAATAAACGGCTTACCGGAAGGACGTTCAAGACACATGGCTCCCGTGAGGATGTTGAAGCCAGAGGCGGCCAATGGCCACAGCCACATGAGCTCTTGGACTTCAAGGAAGGGATTTTCACTCTGAAGAACTCTCGAGAAGACGGTCCTGGGTAATTAGTTAGTGTACGGGCCTAAATAATTACCCATACTATTTTGGCGGTTCCTTTTTATAATTATAGTACAGTGGGCCCCAAAACCCAGAGAGCCCAATACCCGTTAAAGAAGGGATAGACCTTAAATCATAGGGTCTAGGGTTTAGGGTTTACAATACCCCTTAAATAAGGAATAAACCTAAAATTATAGGGGCCTTAGTATTATGATTTTAGGTATCTTCTTTATTTCAGGGGTATTGGGCTTTTTGGGTGGGTAATTACCCGCTTGCCATAAATCAACAGATGCTGGGGCTCTGCAACAAGAACCCTATACCCTAAACCCTAAACCCTATACCCTAAACCCTAAACCCTATACCCTAAACCCTAAACCCTAAACCCTAAACCCCAAATTTTAAGAAAGGCCTCTAAGCCAAGGCACATCCCGTGCAGAAAGCCGAAGGCGGCGCCCCGGCGTTTAGCTTCGCTTTTCTCCATCACCAGGCTCCAAAGTAAAGGCTGCATGAGACCAGAACCCACTCCGAAGCTTAAGGAAGCAAGGAAGAGCAGGAAGAAGGCCATCCAGGGAAGGAAATATGACAATGCACAGGTGGAAAGCCCCACACTAATGGCAACGGAAGCGACCAAAATGAGCATATTCCGTGGCACATGGAGGGCCAAGAAGCCAGCAGCAGGTGCAGAAATGATGTGGAAGATTACGACAATCAGCCGCCATTGCTTTTGCCAACTGGCGCCCTGCAGCTTGTAACGTCCTCCGTAAATCAGAAAGGCAGACCAGCTGTCGAAGGCCAGCTGCGAAGCAACGACTGCCGTGAAAAGCGCTGCCAGTTCCTCCATGGGCCGTGAACCCCTTGAGCTTCGCAAAGGTCCAGAGCTTCCTGTGGCATCGACCGCGTCACGGGAGGACATTTCGACCATGCTTTCCGACATCGCGGAACCTGCCGTACTATTTTGCACTGCAGCAGGCGCTTGGTCTACAGGAGGTACTGCATCTTCCTCGAGCATCGAGAATGACTGCTGAATCAACCCAACAAGACATCATGACAAGGCCGGGGAAGTACCCTAAACCCTAAACCCCTACACCCTAAACCGTCCACCGTGTCGCATAGCAGCTGAGTTTCAGGACGCCTTTTGACACCAAACTCCCCCCCCCAAAAAAAAACTAAACCCCACGCACGGACTCCTCAAGTCCTCATGTAGGGGCCTTGATAATTATAATAGGCTTTTGGGGGTTCCTTTAAAGGGTTCCTTAAAGGGTTCTATAAGGGCTACTATAAGGGTTTAGGGCTCAGCCTTAATAATTAGAATAGGGTTTTAGGGGTATATTATATTGTGATTATATTAAGGAACCCCAAAAATACTATTGGCAATAATTTATGCTCCTATATTACTGCCATTGAACCCTAAACCCAGTACGGCTCCCGCTCGCATACAGGAACAGCCCAGTCTTTATTTGTGATCCGCAGGGCCATGGAGTGGTCTCAAAACACGGCCACACCGCTTCATTTCCTATTTCTTGATTGGAAACAGGCATTTGACTCCCTTGACCACACCGCCATGGTAAATGCAATACGACGTTTGGTAACCTCAGAGTAGCATTGAGGCTATTTATGCCTCTCATACCCCTTACACACAGGGAATGAATGGGGTCCGAACTTCAGGTAAAGTAGGGGCCTGTATTAGGCAGGGATTCCCGCTCAGCCCATATATCTTCATAGCAGTACTGTCTGTAATCTTTGCTGAAGTAGACGATAGGTTACTTGCAAAATAGTATATGACCTGGAATATGCAGATGATACGTTGCTACTAAGTATAGCAACCTCCCAACTCCAATCCATTCTCCATACCCTAGAAGCAGTCGCCTCAACATATGGTCTTCGATTAAACCAACAAAAGACAGAACTCCTAGAGAACCCCAAATCAGACCACACCGCCTTACACTTCACAGACGGCAGTCCAGTTAAACGGGTCCAGAGCCCTAAATATTTGGGTTCCATGATCTCTTGGGAGCGTACCTTTGAAGTAGCTTTGTTCCATAGGCTAGCTTTGGCAGAAGACGCATACAAGAAACTCAGGCTCGTATGGAACAGCACAATGTCCAGAACCCGAAAGCTTAAGATCTTCGAGTCCAAGTTCGTACCCATCCTACTATATGGCCGAGATGCATTGAGAAAGGCTTCTCACTACTCCCGCATACCTAGCGCAGAAGTTTACAAACAAGCCAACTATCCCACATTACCTGCAACGACCCTCCAGTACGGCCAATGCAAGACCCTCACCAACATCTTCTCACTTCCTCGAACCATTCCCGTAAACGGTGTAGTCTTCGGTTCAGCTTATAAGGATAGAATTCTCCTGCAGGGCCCTAGAAGAGGAAAACCACACCCCGCAGATAGCTCGCGCGGTGCAGAGTTCTTCTTTCGAGCTGGTGCCAAAGAGCGCATTCGCAGAGTGCTCGCGGCCAGAGCAAAATATCCGCCCTTAAGCAAGCAACACGACCGAAACCCTAACCCCCCTTAGACAAGCAAAAAGACCAAAATAACCGCTACTGATTGCGGTTCTGTAATGCCCCTGCAATAGGGTATTATGTACAATGAGGGACGATACAATTAATCGAATAAGTGTTCCGAACTCGATTGCTGGTTATGATTCGGGTTGACGCCGGACATGTTGATGTGGCAGTAGCAGGTTGTTTCAGAGATGGGGCAGGAGTGGGGCGGGGGTATAGGACGTGAAGTCTGGGGCTAGCCTATGCGTGCTCAAGCAACGGCTTCACAAGTTCTGGTGCCCAGTTTCATTCCAAATATTCTTGTTTGTCAGCTGGACTATTGGGGTTTGAAGGGCAGCTCATGCAGCCTCTGCAAAGTCAAAGTCAGTTCCTGGATGTGGCCACGCAGCGCCGGCACCTTCACAGATACACAGGGCGGCTAGATAGGCGTGCTTGAAATGGATCCGTTGTCGGTGGCGTCAAGATGAGGGCAGACACCGGAAGACCGTGGGCATAGCAAAACCTATCGGGTCGGAGATGTCTCTGCATAGAAGGGCGAAATTCTGTCATTGGGGTTCAGTGACAGTGTTGTATTCTAGTATTCTCTTGAAGATCCCCTCTAAAGGACCCCTTGATCTAGAACATCCTAGAATAGGATTTGGCTCGCAAGAGGCTGCACTCTACCGCCTGGCCTGGACCGTCGCCTGGAGTTCCAACATCGACTCCTCTAAGCGCTTGACCTGAGCGAGCGCAAGCATCCTGGTTACATGCAACAACTTACTGCATGCCGCCACATGCCCTATGCAGACATAAGCATGAGCCGGAATCTCTTGATTCTTGGAGCAGCGACCCATCTGGCTCCTCTGGACGTGCAACGCGGGTCTGCCTACATCGGCAGGACAAACTCTGCTTACCAGAAAGAGCCTTAGAAGGTCGGGTTTCTTGGAGGCTGTGCTGGGATAGGCGGCTATTGAAGGACTCAGTTGGGCCTGGATCTCACGCAGAAGCCACGGTGCAAGGGCCTGGCACAGGCACGCTGTGCTCAGAACGATTTACAAGGAGCATGAGAAATTCGGACTATGAGTCTTGGCGCGGCACTGGGGCATCCTGAGTCGTGGGAACAAGGCTGAAGAATGATTCGCAAATCTCCTGCAAACAGGCAGTACCAGTAGCAGCTTCAGCAATCTTCCCACACCTCACAAACTGGCATGTGACGAGAGCTTGGCCTTCAGTGGCTTCCGCAAGGCCGCAATACCCGAGACCTCACAAAAGCAGCGGGCAGACAGAGAGAGGGAGCGACAGATCCATAAATGGTTCAGGGTTCAGAGAGTGATGAAAAAGGGGCGCTGGTGGATGTTGTAGAAGGATGTCTGTGTCTTCTGTTTCGCACATGACCTTCCAATCTGACCGCGATTCTTCGAGCTTTTTACGGCTGCATTGGGTGGTAGTTCGTCTCTCCACCACATTTGTCAATGCTCTCATCGAATTCGGTGTGAAGCTGGGAAGCGAAGGATGGGATTATCTCTTTGAGGCGGCTTATGGACACCAGGCCAACGAAGCCCAGCAAAGCCTTGTTGAACTGCTACACATGTTGCACTCTGATCTTCCCACGCTGCAGGCCAAGCAGGCAGTGCGCACCTCCGCGCTGTCAGTCGCCAGCAGGACGTTTCTCACTGGAACTGGAAACCCCGGGCTCCAAGCTGTGCGCATATCACAATCCGCAACCTGCACGATGGGCCAGGCCTTCCGCAATTTGCTTCCAAGCTCCACGAAACCGTGACGAGTACTCTGACACAGATTCTTTCAGAGCTCTTCAAGGGAGCATGGCTTGCACTCTGAGAGTAGGGCTGCGAGTCGCAGAGCCCCGTGCTGCAAGAGGACCTTCGCACAGCACTGCTCTCACTGCACTGTGAAGCCTGGAGTATTTGTGCACCTCTCGAGGAACTGCTGCCGGCGCCGGCGGCTCAGGCAAAGGACTGCTCCGCACGGCCGATGCCAACTTTTCTCTAACCTGACCGAAGCTCGAAGAGTGTGGAACTGTTGGGGCCCGGTCGAATTGCACAGAAGGCCTCTTGCAACCATCGCTTGTGCGCTGCGGTAGGAAGCAGACCTTGCTTCTTTGGCCTCCAGGCGTTCAAAAAAGCGGTAACGGCCGAAACGAGCGCATTCTTTAATCCGATGACATAGCGGCGGCATGATTGTCACTGTTACTTTTAGGGTTTAGGGTTTAGGGTTTAAGGTTTAGGGTTTAGGGTTTACTGGCAGGTGGGCACATCTGAGGCCCATGCGCTTTGGGGAGCTTGTCCACAAGACCTTCGTCACCTGGAGACGTGCGGACAGGTGACATGGCGGAGGATTTGAGAAAATTCGGTCGCGGCACGCGCAAGAGCTGCTAAGGCCGCAGAAGCTGGTCCATAAGCCCGGGCCTTTTTGTTGCAGTCTGGGCGTTGAGATCTTCAAAGAATGGGAAGCAAAGGATGCGGCCAGGCAAGCGGCAACCAAATGAGGAGCATCGTCTGGAAAAGGCTGCAATGAGGTCACCTTACCGTGCTCAAACACGAAGCTTAGGAAGTCTCCAAGCATTCGGAAATTCGGACTGGGTTTGGGTGGATTCAGCTCGCAGTCGTGTCTTAACAAATTTTGTTTTTGGGAATGCAGGCAGCTGGGGCGGCCAAATGTCCATGTCCACGGGAGGAGTGTCAGCGGCCCAAGGCTCGGACGCGCGTGAAGATCTCAAAGGCTTGCTGTAGCGAGAAAGGCCCGGATGAGAGCCTGCACTCCCGGACTCCCGGCCTCTGATTTTAGAGCTGGGCTTACGTGTTTCTGTGCTCCCCGCTGCTGCTCAATGAAGCGAAGGGCTGAAGGGCCACTGCGTGGGTGTTCCTCCGGCGGGTGGGGGCTAGAGTGCTCTGAGATTCTCTGGCTCTGCTGCGTTGCTCCTCTGCCGATGGTGCCAAGCCTTAGCTTCACAGTCGCAGTCACTGAGACCAGGAAGGACTCTGCGGCCGTGGCTGATCGTCGACGACCATTCAGCCGCTGAGGTCTCAGAGAAGACTTTGACCTCATAGCCTGCAGGCTCCAATGCCATGCGCTAGCATGATCTGGCTTCGATTGCGAAGACCTCTGGCAGTCTGGGCTGCACACCGTCGCCGGGAGCAAGGGGTGGCGGCTCCAAACACACGAGAACCTTATTATTCATTCATCTATATTGTTTCATCTTACTTTCAACCCCCCAGGCCCACATAGTGACTGTGCTGTTGAAAGCGGGTACTGCAGTGCCCGCGGCTGAGAGATGCTTGGAACCCCGCGCCGCTCTGTGCCTCCAGGATGCGCCGGCGGTTGCGCAGGAGCCAGCTGATGCCATCCTCAGGAGTCACAGGACCAACCGGGGTCATCCTGACTGCCCCAAGAGACAAGGGAGTTCTGCCACAAGCTCAGTAACAAACCAGCTCCGGCACCATCTTCAACACCTGCCACAGGACATCACAGGACCGAGTTCACATGGACGGCACCCAGCAGTCGTATCTCCCTACAGCCTGCAGCTCCAGCTCCGGCGTTAGGAGGCAGCTTGCTGAACAGTGATGGCGGTTGAGCAGAAACCTCGGTCTCTGCATTGGGCTGGAGATGACTGAAGAACGGCAGAGCACGTCCCAAAGCATGTTGAGGCACAGACTGAACGTACGCATCCCTCACGGACCACGGAGGTTCTAAACCTGGACGACTCAGGGGCAGTTCTGCATTCAGACATCTCGTCAAAGCACGAGGCAGCCTAAAGGTTGCAGTGCTGTGGAGAGATGAAGGCGACACGCGTGGGCGTCCACCTGAAGCTGGGGAAGTCGACGCGCTGTCAGCTGGGCCTGGGGTCCCAGCATGCTGATCGTGGGCCGTCTCGCTGCCGAGCTGTGACCACAAGGCGGCCTGGAGTGGATACACACGCCAGATGCCATCTCCTATCATCTCCTGTGAGTGAAGAGCCATGAAGGGGCCTCCTGTGAGGTGAGAGCGTCGCAGCCTAGAGAGCTGGCGGAGCGCACCACCTGGTTCGGTTCAGGAGGGGCGAATCAGTTGCTTTGGAGCCTTCGCACTCTTGCATGCTCTTGCATGTGCTCCAGAAGCTTCCGCCAGCTTCTGCCTCGTCGTAGCGGTGCATAAGCCAGCAGCAAGTCAGGCGGTAGAGCTCTGCGGCGAGGTCCTGTGCAGAGAGAGAGAGAGAGAGAGACAAGCAAGCACAGCAACTTCGGAAGATGTGGAGACGGCCTGTGCTTGCGCGTAGGTCTGCGAGGAGTGGAGGGAGAAGAAGTAGTGACCCGGCCCGGGCGAGTCGCTGCCTGCACAGCTCGGGCCCGAGTGGGACCCCGAGCGGCCGACAGAGCGGTCGAGTCTTTGAGCTCAGGCTGAGGCCCCTCCGGTTGCTTCGATCAAAAACCAAGGGGGCCCCCCATTCCACGGGGGAAGGCCTCGGGGTGCATTGGGAACTTCTTGGGGCTCTTTGCCATTGCTATAGGATTGCAAGGGTCTGCCAACATCTGAAGGGCCGACCCTCCAGCGGGACGCCGCGGGCGCTGCAGCGCAGAGCACAGGACGGCCAGTTCCCCCTCCTCGCCCTTCGGAAATTCCACAAATCTTCAGAGCACTCCGAGCGGTGGAGAAATGGGGGCTCTCGACCTGTAGAAGCAGCGCTGCACCGCCGAACTGCTGCAGTCGATGCCGGACCTCGGAGCAGGGAAGCGGCCGGGGCACCAAAAGCCCGCCCCCCCAAGCCGAAGGGTCCCAGCTTTGCTTGAGACCGACTGCTCCGCCAGCCGGGCTTCGGCCGCGATGCCTCGCAACGGCAGCGCAATGGCGTCCTCGACGCGCCCTTCTCTGAGATTCTGTGTTGGTAGCGCGGTAGCCGAGGCCGAAGCCGAGGCCGCCAAAGCCCAGGCACTCGAGACAGCCGTGGCGGTTCGCCTGCGGCAACTCAACTGCTGTGGACCACGTTGCACCGGTGCACAGTCGATCCCGGACGTCTTCGCGCCTTGAAGTTTAGTCCGAGCCGCGGCAGGGCCACTTCCGCCACCCGACCTAAGAGATCGACTCGAGGGCCTCTGTGCCATCTCATCGAAACACTGATAGCAACACTGCCTTGCTCGTCTGCCCAACAGAGAATGAAGGCCAGGTCTTCTATGCGTGTCAGCACGTCAGCCTGCCCCAGCACGGTAGCTGCAATGACTCTTCCGGAAGAAGATGCCTTTCTTTGACCTTATAAGTTCCCTTCCAAACAAGCGGGGGCCCACCAGGCGCCGCAAAGGAGAGTCGCTCTGGCTGAGCATGAGGTTCAGCAGCAGCTGCCTGGCGAAGGACGGTCTTGGCCGATGAGGGGCCTGGGGTCCCTGCCAAGTCTTATCACTCCAACCTGTGGGGCGTCTGAGTCTGCCTGGGTTGAGCCGCATCCACATGGCTGGAAGCCCTCAGCACTTGGAGACCAGAGCTAGCACGGCAGGGAGCAAAGGGAATCCGGCAGATACCGCCAGACTCTCACCCGGTCGTCGTCAATGCGTTCCACCTTCGGAGGCCATTGTGCGAAGCTCTATTATCTCTATGGACTATGGGCTGCTTCTGGAGTCGACTTCAAGAGCGAATCCTAAAATCTCATTCTAGCTCGCCTGCAGATGCTGACCAGGTTGTGTTGGGTGCCTCTCCTGAGCATGGCAGACAGCTGCCTAACATTGCCTGACAATTTTCCGATGCAAATCTCCAGCGGTCCTCTCCACGCAGAAGCCCATCCGCGCCCCTCCAGAATCGAAAAGCGCCTTTCCGTCAAGGATGTCTTCTCCGATGACTGGATGCTTCAAACGCCCTTGGACCCACACATAGCAAGGTCTCGGGGAGGAGGCCTCTCATCAGATCAGACCTTGTCTGGCCGCTGAGTCGACACAGCTGGATCTGCTCGTTCCGAGTCCGTGGCGGAACGAGCGCCTCGAGTAGAATGCAGGATGCTGTAGTAGGGTTTGCATCCGACTGTGCCCTCATGAGATTGCTTTTGGCACCTCCCGCACAGCCTTGCCTTCCTCCTGTGCGCAGAAGCACCAGCTTTGGAGTAGAGAGGCTGAAGCAAGTTGCTGGCATCTAAGAATCTACAGCGCTCAATCACATCAACCTCCTGTCCTGCAAGTCCCTCTGGATGAGCACGGTCTCTTTGCTTCCGGGTGCCGGCGGCTGCTTGCCGGAGGAGCCGGGGATTCCTGAGTCACGTCAGCAGCTCCCAGAATCCAAGGTGGCTTCGGGACGTTGTCAGGTCACACTGAAAACTGAGGTCATGCATGCCCAAGTGCATGACTGGGAGAATGCAGGCATCGTGCTCACGCCACATGAGACAAGCCACACTGCGAGATCCGGAGAATGTGTCAGACTCCCAAACGCTCAGCTTCCCCCCCCACGTGAAGTTTGGAGGCTGAATATCAGGTGTTTGATGTCTTCATGAAGCTGACAAAACTAAATCAAACGTGTCAAAAGCCCGCCCGCGAAGACACGGATCACGTGGGCCGGGTGAGGCAGACAGTGGCAGCATGAACTTTCCAGAGCCAGTGAACGGGACGACATGGAGCGATGCCAGTTGCTTGGATTCTGCAAAGCGCAGCCAAACACAGTCGAGCCCAACTCCAGGAGGAAGACTGCGAAGGAAGCTTCTGAAGTTCTCGTGGAAATGCCAAGAATGTTCACAGAACTGCCGTAAGCTGCTAGCAGAAACAGCGTTGCTGACTAGGACTGCAATGTATCGCACGATTTTTCACCTAGATGGTTCTCACTTCATTTGGCTGTCAGGCGGCCGGACTTCGTACGCAAATTTTGCTGTAGAGGTGGTTCTGAAGCACACACTGAACAGAGTTGAAGGTGGACGCACGAACCACATTTTTCTGCAAGCCTTTGACACTTGCGCAAGAAGACTACTGAAGCAGAGCACAGAGGCCACTGCCCCCATGACCAGAGCAGAGGCACCAAATGCCCGACCTCCCGAGATCGAAGATGCTCTCATCCCTGAATGCGCCCACTTTTGACTCGGCCGAGTTGCCCAGAGGTCCAGGGCTCCTTACTACAAAGCTCTTAGGGTAGCATAAGGCCTTAAAAGCATCAGAGTCAGAGTCCCAAAAGCTTCCCACGTGGCAGTCCTGGGAGGCAAAGCCTGTGAAGCACCAACAGGCGTCGCTGGTCCATCGCAACCTTCGAAAGACCATTCTCGCCTTACTGTGCATTGAAAGAAAAAGCGCAGGATGGAGCGTGTCATGTAAGCGGCAAGGCGTGTGCGATGCTTCTAGACGGTCGCAGGCAAGCATGGCATCTCAGAGGATCACGTGCGAGCACTGCTCGAAAAGCTGCACCACAGGAGGATCTCGGAGCACGATCACCTGCCATTCTGGTAGACTATGGTATATAGTGCGTGTCTTACGATATATTAAACTACTCAAACCTACATTGCAATAACAGGTTTGATCCAGTTTCGACTAGATGAACGGCTTACCGCATGATCAAGGCCCTACGATGGGATTACATGTTTGCCCCCTCCAAAACATCACCAAGGCACCATCTGACAATCCATGCAGGGCAGGAGATGGCAACGCAAGATCCTCTAAGATGAATCGCTTGCGCACCTCAATGCCCTCGACCTCGCAAGCAAGACGTGCCATCCTCCACAGGGAGAGGGCGACACTATAAAGTACTGGTAGGACGCTGTACTACAGTATGGCATAATCCAATATGACATAATGCTTACATTAATTTTGCCATAACATAGCACGATGTGCCGAACTATCATGGCCTACTACATAAAGTATTTAAAAAAAAAACTCGAATGACAAGTGCGGGTCCTCTCCGAGCTCCCGAGCAGGCGACTGGCGCCCAAGCCTGTAGGAAGGCCTGCGGCCGGAGGCTGATGTTCAGCCCTAAAACCCTAAACCCTATGCTTCCCTTTATATGATGGCGGTGAACGCGGAGTTCGAAACAGTATCGTATCGACAAGGGCTCAGGAACTCTAAGATAGCAAGATTGCCATATGAGTATCCGCTTAGAGTCTCTGTACTCTTTACACATATGCGGTGGCCACGCATGTGATGTTTCTATGTGCTGTATACTTGTAAGATACTACAACACCTCCACGTGTGCCCTCCACCAGCCATGCTCTACTCTCAGGTGTTTGGTAAGCGGCTGTTGATGGCAGGGGCGGGTGCACCGGTCAAGCACCATGCTTCTCAACAAGATGCAAAAAGAACAGCTGAGACCAGTCAGAAGCTACAGCGACTGCAGCAACACCCTTCCATCGCAGCCAGAACGAAGTCAAGGACAATCCGGACAGCAAAAGCACGGGCACGAAGCAATTACGCACACGCGCACAGATATAGGCATGCACAGAGGGTAAATGCACAAAAACGAGCAGAGGGAGAAGAAAGAGTCCGGGCCGGCATGCAAGCAGGTCACGACAAAGACCACCAATTCGGATACGCGCGACTGCAGGGCACACCAAAGAACAGTCTAGCTGAGAGGCCTCCTGCCGCCTTCACCTTGCACAGCAGTAAGAGGCTGAGACTCAATCACTGCGAGGCTTGCAATGAGCTCCTGGCGGCTTCGTCAAGCCAGGAACAGCGAGCCCCACGGGCCTGGACTCCAATGTTTGGGTTTTTTCGATTTCGGCTTGGACGTTGATTATTAATACGGAATATAATACAATTAGACGAGAATTTATGGTTTGGTGCGAAGGCGAAGACTGTTGCAGCTGTGTCTGAGGCTCGCGCAGCAACAGGGTTCGGCCAGGGCCGCGGATCCGGCGTCCAGTTGTGCACGTCGCATCCTTAAATCCAACACACAGCCATAGCATCGGAATGCGATTACCCTAGACCCTAGAAACCCTAAAAACCCTAATATAGCCGACCGAGGGTTCAGCTTTGGCCGGCGAGATTGATGCACTCGCGATGCTCGGTTCTCTGTACGAGACCTGCTTCAACTAGAGCTGACTCATCATCACCGTTGCGCACAGAGTCTGCCGAACACACAACAAAATGCGAACTTGGTTTTTCGGCAAGCCTGTTGCGTTGTCCTTGTTTTGTGGGTTCAGGTGCTGTGTCGAACTTGTACCATGTAAAACATCGCCCAGCTGGCACAAACCATTCTTGTAGTTGTTACTGCATAGGTGGTGCCGTGTTCATGGCAAGCAGGAAAGCTGTAGAGTACGACGGGCGCTTCCTGCCAATTTTACTTTGGAAATAGGCCGGCAGAACAAAGGCCCATCTGTACAAAGTACTGAGCCAATGGCTTGAGAGTATGCCGTGGAGTTCGGATGACTCTCCAAAAACGTCTTGAAGTTCCGGAGAGGTGGATGCCCAGCCTGGCAAATCTGACATGCAACGTCTGAAGCTGTTCTTACTATTACGGGTACCACCATTCTGCCACAGGCTTCCGGGTGTCAGATCCAGAAATGTGCCTGGCAAGACTTGGAGCTCTCCTTGCTGCATGGCGAAGCTGCCTCAAGCACTGACATGGGAAGCTCCTTATTATAAGTATGGTATTACGGGCCCCAAAACCTCATTCTAATTATTAAGGCCCCTATAGTAGTTCAATATCCCAGCACTGGGAGGTGATTGTGTACTTTGGTTTAGCCGCTGCCCTGGAGCACATATCCGACTGGCTTGAGCACGGCACCCAAGTTGGTGTCGTAGGCGAGCTTTGGCAAGGATGCCAGGAGCTGCAGATACTCTTCGACCTTTGATTCCCATGGAGTCCTTTTTTCGGTTAGAAGCATCCGAGCAATGCTTGCGCTGGGAGCGGAGCTTTCTGACCAGGTCTGAGCTTGGAATTGTCCTCACAAGCAGCAAAGTATCCTACATGTCTTGAAGCTTGCAGAGATTGCACTGAAGTCCTGGAGCGCGGCTTCGGCAGAACGCATGAACACACCTGAACTCAACACAATCCAGGAATCCAGAGTTGACATGCCTATCTCTGTCGCGGGGGACACCCCCCCTACTTGCCAAGTCAGCCATATCATTTTACTTGCGGGCTCCGGTATTCCATCTTGTCAGGGCGCCTCTCCTTCAAGAGCCCTTTACATCGGCTGGCAGGTGCCTTCTTCGCTCTGCATGCATTGCTTGCGCTCTTGCAATAACCGATCGCTTAACCTGCTGGTGGCTGCCGCTCAAGGACCCAAGAAGTTTTGGCCGTGCAGCCAGGAGAAATGTAATTCGAGGGTGATCACCGCAACATAGGTTTGTTCAACAGACACTTGGTACCCGTCCCGTCCCTCATATTCAGCATGTCGCCATTGCCGCATTCCGATGCCACCCCCTTC